ATACATACATACATACATACATACATAATACATACATAATACATACATACATACATACATACATACATACATACATACATACATACATACATACATACATACATACATACATACAACATACATACATACATACATACATACTACATACATACATACATACATACATACAATACATACATACATACATACATACATACATACATACATACATACACATACATACATACATACATACATACATACAACATACTACATACATACATACATACATACATACATACATACATACATACATACATACATACATACATACATACATACATACATACATACATACATACATACATACATACATACATACTACATACATACATACATACATACATACATACATACATACATACATACATACATACATACATACATACATACATACATACATACATACATACATACATACATACATACATACATACATACATACTACATACATACATACATACATACATACATACATACAAATACATACATACATACATACATACATACATACATACATACATACATACTACATACATACATACATACATACATACATACATACATACATACATACATACATACATACATACATACATACATACATACATACATACATACATACATACATACATACATACATACATACATACATACATACATACATACATACATACATACATACATACATACATACATACATACATACATACATACATACATACATACATACATACATATTATATTGTCAATAATATATCTCGAGTCTTTAACCTAAAACAAGAGGTGAACTCTATTCATTCGAGGTGAGCAAAACTCGACTCGACTCGAAAAACCGATTTTTTCGAATCGACTCCACTCGATAAAACTCGACTCGAATTAACTTCAAGTTATAATTTCATAAACTCGACTCAACTAAAAAAATCAAGTTCAAATTGAGTTGTAAAATACAATAACTCGAATAGTAAGTTGAATTTTTTAGTAATTAGTGGATTGATTTTCAAGTTTGTGTCGAGTCCCTTTGTAACATCCTCAATACCGAGTTAGTGACCAAATTGTAAAATTTCAGAATTTGGTGATTAAAGTAGAATAATTGAATAGTTCAATGGTTTATTTGGAAATATTTCCTAAAAGTTTTTAGTAATTATTAAAGGAATTAAAGGGCAAAATGGTTATTTGACAAGGAAAGATATTTTTCCCCTTGATACGAATGAATTACGTGGGGTGGGGGAGAGTTATCTAGAAACTCTCTTCTTCTTCTTCTTCTTGCTTTCTTCTTCCATGTGCCAAGAACAAAGGTGAGTTTTCTATTTAGTTGATTATTTGTTGATTTTAAGGTTGGTTTATGATCATTAGATGATAACTAAGCTTAAGGAAAGCTTAAGTTATCTTATAATCAAAAGATGAAGAAGTTACAAAAGATTAAAGTGAAGGAGTTTCTAAATGAATTTCGGGAAAATAGTTGATAAGTTGAATTTGAAGTTAAATTTGACTTGTCATCAGCCTAATTAAGAGATATGAAATGTTAGAATTGGATTTAAAACATGTTGAAAATTGGGTATGATTCTTGAAGTTCATAAAGAGGAGAAGATTTTGAGGTTTAAGATGAGATAAATGGATATAAATTGGTTTAAGTATGTGTATTTGAGTTAATAATATTAAAGCGAATGAAACATGAAGTATTGAAGCTGAGAATAGTGAACTTTCGTACTTGAATAGTGGTTTATGGGTAAAAATTTACAGATCTCAAAAGGGGTATCGATACCCTAGGCAAGGTACCGATACCTCAGTTAGGGGTGTACTGATACCCTATAGAGGGTATCGATACCTATGTTAAACAAGGAATGAAAATAACATTTCCTTTAGTTCAAGAAAGGAAAGATTAGAGTATATCAATTGGAATATTGATATGTATTTATGTATTGTTATGTAGATATAGAACATAATCCCGTTCCGGAACAATCAAAGAATTAGGATCGAATCAAAGCAAGGGCAAGGTGAGTGCAAATTTAATTGTACTTATATTATCGAGTAAACATTGGCTTGCGATGAGCCAGTGACAGAGTTACTATGGTAAGAAGTGACTCCTAAAATGTTATTTGATTTACAATGCATGCATAAGTTATATGTGTTTACATGATTCGATAAAATGATACATGATTTATATGTATGAATGAGTACATGTGTTAACATGTTATTATGTATGTTATATGATTTGTATAAGTATATGTTAGTGTGATAAGTCATGTGAAACAATACAAATGATCTATATGATGGTATAAGAATATGAAATAAGTTATGTGATAAAGGCATAAGGAATGAAATGAACATGTGAATATAAGATGACCAAGTATAGTTTACACTATATGGTATAAGTGAGTACATGAGAAAGGTTATGAATTCCTATGAGAACAATATTTAAGTTAGGAGACATAGACATAAGTGATTATATGAATATGTAAGATAAGTTATATGGTAAAAGTTATGTGCTTAAATGAAACTACGATATGAGGTAGATGGCAAATATCTATGAAGACATATGAGTTATATGGGAAATATATGTGAATGAGATATGATATATATGTTTATATGAAACCGTGCAAAGTGATACGAGCTATGTGACATATGAATATGAAATCATATGAAAAGTGACATGAATTACATGAAAGTAAACTACGTGATTATATGCATATGTGATATGTGACAGAAGAAAAGAAATATGTGATCATAAGACCAATGATATGAGTACATGAATATATAAAGCATAAGAAAAATGCCCATGTTATATGATACGAGAGCTATAGGTATAGTTGGCATGCCAAGAGTCGAGGGTCTATGTGGTCCTTCGGGACATATACAATGTATAGAGGTCATTCGGGACAAATACATAGGTCCTTCGGGACAAATTTCACATGCCCCTAGTAGGACCCCATACGAGCTGTGGTGACAGCATATGTGCATAACCTCTATGTACTCACATATATTTAGTTCTCACCAGTGTACCATGGGCTAATAAAGAGATAATAACAAATACAATATATGTGATGGATATGCTTTTGATGATACGAAATGCATTATATGAATTATATGATGTTATGTGTGCTTTGTTGTGAAATGATATATGTATATGTGTGCATTGGTTATACAATGGGAGATATGTTTTTATATGATATGATAGTATTAATTGTTTATGCATTGATATGAGTAGAGTAATATTATATGTTTTCATGCCTCATTAAGTCAACGACTAAGCGTGTGATTGTTTCACACGTAGGTTCCGAGAAGAAGAAGAATGATAAAAGTTAAGCAAGACAGGTCAGTTTCTCCTTTCCAAAGATCATATCAGAAAAGAAGTTAATAGTATGTATTTTGTAATACTTATAGTGGTTGACATAAAAATAAAGATTTGAATTCAATATGTTTTAATCGGTTTTGTAAAATCATATGATTGAGTTTTGTAATGTTTTAAACGTATTTATGTAAATAGTGACTTATAGTAATGAAAGTTAATTTTTTATGAGTTTTTTTATAAGTGAACCAAAATTATTGTAGCAAGGGTATCGGTACACTGTAGCAGGGTATCGATACCCTTATAACATTCTGGAAAATGTTAGCATTCGATACTGTTCATGGTAATGTTCATGGTACTGTGCATCAATGTTCACGGTACTGCTCATTATTGTTCACGGCTATATTATCGTATAGTACTATTTGTTATAACGAACATAATTCAACACTATATTATCGTATTTTCTTAATATAAGTCCAAACATTTTGTTATTTTGTAAGACTATTGTTTTAAAAAGTCAATGTGACATCTCGGACTCGTATCCGGGTCAGGTACGGGTTGGGGGTGTTACACCCTTAACTTTGTATAATATATATATATCACATATGAAAAAAATATAAAAAATATATATGTATTGTATATAGTTTCAAAAAATCATTTAAATTGGAATAAAAAGTACTATAATATTATAAATATTTACAATTAAATATAAATAGAAACTCGAAAACTCAACTTGAATCGACTCTACTCGAATTTTATCAAATCGACTTAACTCGTAAAATTTTCAAGTCAACTTTGAATTGTAAAATAGGACTCGTCAAATCGAATAACTCGAATTTTTTTAACTTGACTCGTCTCGACTCGATCGAACGCTCACCTCTACTAATTGTTAGGTCACACAACTTATTTAAAATAATCAATAATATTGTAAAAGTAATTTCGCTATAATTAATATTTTTAGTATAAAATAAATTTCTTATTAATACTTTAATATAATTTTTAAATAAAACAATTAAAACTAAATATATAAATAATGAAATTAAATATAAATTTAGAGAAAATAACCTCAGTGACCGAAAATGCCTTATAATATACGGTTTTGACCAACTTTTTTTGGATTTCCCAAAATGACCAACAAAATCGCAATGCGATCTCCAGTATCACAAATCAATTTCCAAATTCGCAACGCGATTCTGACTATCGCATTGAGATTTTGTATTATCGCGTTGCGATAGTTGAAGTTCACGTTGCGATAGTCGAAGTTCGCGTTGCAATTTTCCAAATTCGTTGCGATAGTCCAAGTTCGCGTTGCGATTTTCCAAATTCGTTGCGATCGTCCAAAATCGCAACGACTGGTGGTATTGCATTTGTTTCTTAAGAATTTTTTCTAAAAAGATAGTATCCGCACGGACGTGTTGAAGACACGTATTACCACGACCACGACCACGACCCGAGACGAGAAGGCGGCGGCGGCACGCGAGAGTCCCCCTTGTTCTCTTTCACTCAACAAGGAAGTGGGAAAGCCAAGCCTTAAATACTATTCCCAATAGTGTTTCCAATACTATGTGGGATTGAGCATTACCAACAACCTTCCCATGTCAACCTTCCCAATAGTGTTTTCTTTTTTGCGAACTTCGACTATCGCAACGTGAACTTCGACTATCGCAACGACCTGATATATAAGCTTCTTCTTCATATGTTCATCCTCTTCCTCCTCCATTGTTAACCGTCCCCTCTTTTGTCCTACTTGATATATAAGCTTCAATAAAAATACATATATGTTGAATAAATTTCAACAACTTAGATAAACTTCTGAATGACAAGTTAACCAAATAATGTAGAGGTAAGAAGTACCTTCTGAGCACCATCAGTATTTATTGGCCTAATATCTGGATTTGGACCAACAATCCCATCAAAAAGAGAAATATATTTTGCATAATTTGGTTCCTCATCGAACTTCAAATTCACAACATACTCAACAAACTGTCTGAAAGGAGCAGGGTAAAAGCAACACAAAGTTTCTGGAGAGGTGGCCATATTCTTCTTACTAACAAGAAAGCCTTTATTTTCACCCTAAAATAACAACTTGAATCATAAAGGCAAGAGATAAGAAATATATATATATATGTGTGTAGAAAGTTATTATATGGAAATGCAAACCTGATATCCTTGCTATGGTAACTGACCACGGAGGAGAAATATGAGTGTGTAAGCCAGAGACTCTAGATCATCAAAAACCAAGTTGTGGCTGCATAAAAAGAAAACAAGCATAATGGCACAGTCAAATTAAGCACACAAAATAGGTTGAAATGGGAAGGTTGTTGGTAATGCTCAATCCTACATAGTATTGGAAATACTATTGGGAATGATATTTAAGGCTTGGCTTTCCCACTTCCTTGTTGAGTGAAAGAGAACAAGGGGGACTCTCGCGCGCCGCCGCCGTCTCGTGGTCGTGGTCATGGTAATACGTGTCTTCGACACGTACGCGCGGATACTATCTTTTTAGAGAAAATTCTTAAGAAACAAATGCAATACCACCAGTCGTTGCGATTTTGGACTATCGCAACGAATTTGGAAAATCGCAACGCGAACTTGGACTATCGCAATGAATTTGAAAAATCGCAACGCGAACTTCGACTATCGCAACGAATTTGGAAAATCGCAACGCGAACTTCGACTATCGCAACGAATTTGGAAAATCGCAATGCGAACTTCGACTATCGCAACGTGAACTTCGACTATCGCAACGCGATAATACAAAATCGCAATGCGATAGTCAGAATCGCGTTGCGAATCTAGAAATTGATTTGCGATACTGGAGATCGCATTGCGAATTAGAGATCGCATTGCGATTTTGTTGGTCATTTTGGCAAATCCAAAAAAATTTGGTCAAAACCGTATATTATAAGACATTTTCGGTCACAGATGTTATTTTCTCATAAATTTATCACCTTACCTATCAAGATTATTTATTAAGTAATTTTTATTTTTAAGAATAGAATAAAAATTGATAATAAATTATTTTATATAAAAAAAATTTGTGTCAAAGTTTAGTTAGTATAATATTTTCTTTAGGCTTAATAAAAAAATAAATGCCTAAAAGAATGTCTCGAAAAATATTTTAGTACTTAAAGAATTTTTCGTTAAAAATAAATACCTAAAGTTTTTTCGTTATTTTCTTAAGTGTATACTGTTAAAAAAACATTAAGTGACATGTGTAATCTTTATATTTTTTAAAAATAAAATATTATTTAATTTTTTAAAAAAAATCTTGATGTGACATATATCACTTAACCATTTTTTAATGGTAGACACCTAAAATTATAATAGAATTTTAGACACCTATTTTTTTAATAAAAAATTCTTTAAACATCAAAAATTTATTTTTAAGTATAACTTAGATACTTATTTTTATATTAAACATTTTTCTTATCAAAAGAATGGTTGGATAAATTCTTAAGTGTTAAGCGTCTACCTTTCCAAATAACAAACGCGTCAATTAGCCGTACTATTAAAATATCGTTTGCGGACAATTACTAAAACAGATCGTATCCGTTCATTTCTCTAAGATCTGAGAGTTGGTCCATATTTGATCTAATCAACCGGTTCACAAATTGAGGGTTTATCAGTAATTCACTCTCATCGTCATTTTTCTCTTTTGCCTTGGGCTCCGCGTTAACCTTTCCTTTTGCTCGTCATACCTCAAATTCAAAAATCCGACTCTGGAAAATTCTTTTAACTCGTTCTAAATCAATCTCATCCTGAATCGTACTATTCAACTCGTCCCGAGTTGGCGTTTCTCTTTACCGATTTCTTAATTTCATCTCTTTCATGTGAAAGCCGCGACCTTGTTTTTTTAGTTTCTCTACTGATTTGGAGGGTTCTTGAGATTCCATGGCTAGGGTTTATAAAAACTGGGAGAGGCTGGTGCGTGCTACCTTGGAAAGAGAGCAGCTCAGAGATGCAGGTCGAGGTCATGAGAGAAGATCGGGTGGGATCGCCGGTGCTGTTCAACTTCCACCCTCTCTCGATCGTGCCACTAACATCGACGCAATCCTACAGGCTGCGGACGAGATTCAAGAGGAGGACCCCACGGTTTCCAGGATACGTATGTTTGTCTTTATTTTAATACCCCCTTAGTTTCTTGGTTTTACTTCATTATTGTGGTCACTTAATCATGTGATCTGTTGACAATTTAAGCTATGAATTGAAGGAAGAAAGGATTGAAAGAGACTTTTGAGAGTAAGGCGGTGTTTGGTTACGAGTATTTTCATAGATGGTTGAGTTTATTTGCTCATATTATTGATTTGGTAGATATAGAACAGCTGGGGGTTAAATTCTTCTTTCCTTCCGTTTATGCGTGCAAAGGGAGTTCTGAATTTAGACAAACTGGTTCGAGTTCCTTTAGTAGTGTTCTTGCTCTATGGGTTTGGTTTACTACCACGTCTAGCTGAACTGGCATTTTGACAACTTATTTGATGGATTTATTCTAGGATGAAAACAATTAACTTCAAATGATTGAATATTTCAAATTTAGAGAAGCAATAGCTGTAGTAATAAAGAACAGAAGAAAAAAAAGTAGAACCTGCTTGTGATGCAAACCATTTTATATCATAGAAATGGCTGTTTCGGGGCAATATAGTTTGAATTGTGTGATCTTTGGGTCCCTTTGAGATTGTACACAGATGTGGCTATGTGATATTTCTCCATGTATTAAGTTTAAGCTTTTATAAGTTCCAATCATTGAGAACTTGAATTAAATCCAATCAGTTGTTTATTTTGAGTTCTTAATGCAGATTTCTAATTTGATTGAATTATTAAATTCAAAGCTTCAGATTTTATTGATTTTAACGTTAAACAAGATTGGCAGACAAATATAACACGAGGATGTGTTATAGTTTCTTATTTACATCTATGCAACTGCCTTTTACTATGACAAAAAATTGGGATGGTCAAGCTATTTTGGATTCATTGTAAGTTAGAATTTCACTGCAATAGCATTGTTGTTCAGACTTTATAGGCTCATACCCATTTGGGTGTAATATGTTTCTACATAAATAAATATGTTGGCTAGGGATATTTGTGTAATCCAAATTACTTCATGACAGTGGATCCAATTGCAGTAAATTAGCATCTTGATAGGGTGGCCAACTGTTTGTCTTTATTGATAATTTGTTTTTTCTTTCTCAATTTTTTTATGTTGTAACTTTCTATATTTGATGTCCATGCCTGTTAGATTTGTACATTGAATGGGATATCTATAATTACCACGTGTTTATATATTTTTTTGACATATATTGCTCTTCTTAATCCAAATTTCTTTCTTGGTTGGTGATGTGATTATATTCTTTCTATTACAGTTTGTGAGCAGGCATATGGTATGGCCCAAAATTTGGACCCGAATAGTGAAGGTAGAGGTGTACTTCAGTTCAAGACTGGTTTGATGTCTGTAATTAAGGTAATGTTACATCAACTTTGGTTGTTAAGTAGTTTTCTCATATTTTGCATTGTGTGTAGGCTTAATCCATGCAGATAGCAGTAATTTTCCTTCATCATTGGCCATCTCTTAGGGTCCAGATTGATGGCATTGTTTGTTGGTATCAGCTGTGTTATCACTTATCAGTTTAGATCCCACTCAGATATCACACCGTTCCAATTTTGTAGACTTCATTGTTGTTTTGGACCCCTGACCTCCACTCTAACATTAGAAGGTGTTTGGTATGATGGAATGTACTCACTTTCTTGTAAAATTTTTCTATGTTTAAAAGTGATCACTTTATTGGGAAGGTACTGTTTCTTTGGGGACTACTTTCTCATAAACATGAGGATGCAATTCCTATAAAGAATGGTGGGGAAGAGTGTTTAAAAAGGCGCAGCTGAGGCGCTCCTAGGCGCTAAGGCAAGGCGAGGCGAGTGTGAAGCGCCTAATTAGGTCTAGGCGAGGCGATTTCAATGAAGCGCAGTAAGGCGCGTCTAAGGCACACCATGCGCTGAGGCGCGAGGTGCATAAAGGCGCCGCCTCATCAATTTTTTTGTTCTTCTTGTATTTTTTTTTAATATTTTTTTTGTGCTAAAACTGTGTGCATATGCTGTTATGAGGGAGATATAGATACATACATACACACATCAATAAGGTCTGGATTGGTACTTTGAATTGGTTGTATTTTCTGTTGGAATCTTAATAAAATTGAGGCACTCTTTTCCTCCTTCCAATGTTCATTGAGATACTATTTTGTATTTCAATGGATATGAAGGGGTTTTTTTTTAATGACGCCTCCCTTTCTATAAAAAAAAAACTATACAACTACAAAAAATATGTATATCTTTTATTTTCAAAAAGTGCGCCTTAATTCAATAAGGCACACGCCTTGCGCCCTTTTTAACACTGGTTCCCAATGTAGTCGGACAGATAAAATTCATTGAATCATAATATAATTTTCAACTACAAAGTCATGTAATTAAATTAGTTATAAAATTACTTTAATCACTATCAAAAATAAATTTTAATTACGTTGCATTCTAATTTAAATTCATATTAGATATATATAACTTATTTTTAGTTTAATCATATATTGATTTTAAGATAAATACTTTCTTTTAATTTTATTTAAAAAATATATCAATATCATTTAAAAAGAATAAATATAGGGACATTTTTGTTCATGATAAAATTATATTGAAAACTATAAAACTAATAAATTTTGCACTTTATTTGATAAGGGTAAGTCTCGGAATTACTATAACATACTTGTAAAATGTTTACTGAATCAAATAAGCCAATGTAAGTTTTTCAAGATTTACTTAGCATTTTTACTATGTATGCTAAATCTATAATTTTACTTCCTGTTCAACATTCCATTTGAATATGACATGAGAAAGCACCAAGTCACCTTAAATTTTACAACTAATAAAATAAGTATGTTTTTTTGTTGTTGTTCTGATTCATTCTTATACTATTTCTAGTAATCTACTGTATTGATTTAATGTGCCATCAAGTTCTCTGATTCTAACAATATGCTTGAATGGTATTTCATAATTTATACTGTTTCGTTATTGATGTGGA